CTGTCTGACATGCTGTGATATGATACCCGTTAGAATAAACAGCCTCAGGCAGCGACGTGGTCATTTGCACATTCCACATATTCACTGACTACATTTCAACCACACAGCTTCCCATGTTGCCCCACCCCCAGGCCTGGAGCCCCCAAGACAGGGACTCTGGCCTCTCTGGACTGTTCCTTCCTCTGGCCCCCAACTCAGTGCTAGGGCAGGGCTCAAGTTCCCATCTCCCTGGGTCTTTCGGAGTGACCTTGAGCTGACCCACACTGCCATATGGCTCCCCTTATTCTGGCTCCAGCCTGCGGCCCCTCACCATCCCCTCCCTCCACACTGCTGGAGTCTGTAGCTCCCCCTCCCTCCTCCCACAGCACCCACCTCCCCCAAGCAGTTGCACATGACTTTCTGGTATCTTTCAGCCCCACCCTGCCCATCCGGTCAGCACCAAGCGACACTGCCTGGAACGTGACTCATCCCCTCCCCCAGTTTCTGGACAGACAGGGGGATGGAAAAAAAACTGGGGACACGGACACCAGCCTGGGGGAGGGGGACTAAGAGGGCTGTCAGACAAAGAGCCAGGTTAGAGAGGGGATGGTGATGTGCCTGCTGTTAGATATGCTCAGTGAGTCAGGACGCATAGAGGATTTGGGTTCTAAAGAAGAGCATTGCCTACTGGGTGTGTAGTATGAATTAGACTTCTTGTATGACAGCGTGCAGAATTAGAACTAGTCTATACGCTGCTTAAAACACATCAGGGTTATTGTAGGTAGAATGACAGGTTTCAAATACGGGACTAAGTTTGGGCTCTCCCTTCATTTAACAGTCCAACCTGGTCCCTCCTCCAAGTCCCCTCCCCTTCCCTGGAGCAGCCATGCCTGTGGTCCCCAAACTTTGCTGCCCACTGGAATCACCAGGAGCTCTTTAAAAATACTGCTGCCTGGCTTCCAGCCTCAGACATCCTGACTTAACTGGTATGGAGTGCACCCCAGGCACTGGGATTTTCTAAAGCTCCCCCGGTGATTCTAATGGGCAGCAAAGTTTGGGAGGCACTGAGCTATGGCACTTCTTTCAGAGCTGCAGCTGGATCTGCCTGATGGGTAGCAGCCTTTGGGTGGGGCTTGCGGTAACATATGGTGACCACTGGCTAGCTGCAAGCTACCTGGGGAGTTTGTAATCCTCACCTGGGCTCCAGGTTAGGTGTCCTACAGTGGGCTCATTACTGTTACTGCTTCACGGGCTTCAGGTCCAGCGTGGCAGCATGGGGAGAGCCAGACCATGTTAGAACCCTGCCTGGTGGCAGAAGCAAACAGAGAGGATGGGAGGACCCGGGGGGGGGGGCTGTTGGTGGGGGTGGGTGGTGAGACTGGCCAGACAGAGGGCTGGGATGCATCCAGCACAAGAGGACTCACTGCTGCCCCAGGAGGCTGGCAGCACAAGGATGACTGCTCCCTGCTCTGAGGGGCTGGCCAGCAATCATGGAGTGTGATGGTTCATTTTATGTGTCAATTTGACTGAGAGAAGGGATGCCCAGATAGCTGGTAAAATATTATTTCTGGTTGTCTGTGAGGGTGCTTCCAGAAGAGACTAGCATTTGAATCGGTAAACTGAGTAAAGACTGCCCCCCCCAATGTGAGTGGGCAACATCCAACCTGTTGAGGGTGTGAAAAGAACAAAAAGGTGGAGGAAGTGTGATAGTGCTCTCTGCTGGAGGTGGGACATCCATCTCCTCCTTCTCAGACACTGGCGCTCCTGGTTCTCAGGCCTTTGGACGCAGACCGGAACTACACCACCGGCTTTCCTGGGCCTCTAGCTTGCAGATGACAGATCGTGGGACTTATCAGCCTCCATCATCATGTGAGCCCATCCCTCATAATAAAATCTCTAGATATCTATATCTACAGTCATGTGCCACACAATGTTTCGTTCAAGGACGGACCACATATATGACCGTGGTCCCATGAGATTAGTACCATAGAGCCTAGGTGTGTAGTAGGCTATACCATCTAGGTTTGTGTAAGTACACTCTCTGATGTTTGCACAATGACAAAATCACCTCAGGATGCATTTCTCAGGAGGTGTCCCCGTCGTGAAGCGACGCACGACTGTATATCTACCCTATTGTTTCTGTTTCGCTGGAGAACTCGAACACATGGAGCTTCAAAGAGAAGGTTACGACAAGGGACTCGAGGCTCCTCCAGGCTCAGCAGTGACAGTTCTGCGTGACTTTGGATCCATTATTCAACCTCTTTGAGTCCAAGCTCAGTGGGAAGGGTCCATGCTGAAATGTGACCTCAGCCACGATTATGAAAGTTCATGGCTTCTATTTCTCAAGCACTTAGCACAGCAGCCGACACACAGTGAGCAGTTCACGTGCATTACCCCGTTTAGTTCTCACAGTACCATGGGACTGGTACCCTTACTATCCCCACTTTACAGATGAAGAAATGAAGGCCTGCAAAGATCCAGTAGTTTGCCCAGGGTTAAACCAGGTCTGTCTCATTTCAGTCTGGACTGTCTCCCAAAGGTGATAAAATGGCAAACGTCACTATTCCCAAGCAGACTAGGGACTTTTCCCAAACCACTCCAAATGGATTTGGTACATGAAACAAAAGAAACACAACGTCTAGGCCTTTTTCCTACAGGAAAAAATTATTACTCTAGAGAGAAGCTTCTTGTGGAAATCCTCCCAAGACTATAAGGCGTGAGGTCTTGAGCACTGAGTGGGCAATGCGAGAGGTGATCCACCCCAGAAGGATGTGCGAATAAGAGCAGCTTTGGCCAATGTAAACAGTGGACTGGGGTGGGGGTGAAGGCTGTTCCACTCCACCCACAGCATTCCCTAACTCTACCCCGCTCCAGGCTACCAGAGAAACCCAGAGTCGGAGGGGACCTTGGAGCGCTGGTTCCCTTTCTGTGCCTTCCACTCCCAATTCCCTCCCTTGCTGATGAAACTGGAGATGCCAGGGCCGGGTGTGAAACGCCAGCTTCTGGGTCAGAGGCTTACTTGAAACTTTGGAAATCTGGGTGGAGGTTTGAACCGCTTCGGGGATTAAAATGGGGCTCTTGCAATCAGCTGCAAATGGAGTCTCTAACTGGGCAGTCAGGGCCCACTATACCCTCAGTTTCAATCTTCAGTCCTCTGCCCCACTGCCACCTGGGCTCTCCCCTCTCCTTGCCCTCAGGGTAGAGCAATAAAATAGTTCATGCTGCAGCTAGAGGCTATAAAAGCTTAGCCCTACCCGCTGCCTCTTTCACTCACGTCCCAGTCATAGCCTTGGCTGCAGGAGAGGTCCCGGAGACAGGCCATCTCTCTCTGGGCTTCCAGCACAGCCACAGAACAATGGGCTGTGGGCAGGAGAGTGGGAGACCTGTAGGCTGGCCCGAGGCTCACTCTCAAGGACAAAGGGCAGGTTAGAGGGGAAGATTACATCCTGGCCTCCTAATTTGGGTCCAGCCACTAATTTGGCTTTTCTAGGAAAAAAACACACTTGGCAAAATTCCCCTGGAGTTTAGGTGGGGAGGCAGGAGGTGTTCTGGTCCTGTCAGCTTCCCTCTCTCCACACACAAACTCACCTGCCGCTGCCTGAATCAGAAAACCCAGCTTGGGCCTGCTGAGTAAGAAAGGGCCACAAAGTCTTCCCAACTGAGACCACTCACCCACCCGCAACCAGTTCTCCCATGTCCATGACAACTCAGTAGTCCTGGGACAGATCAGCAGTAAAGCCTACCTCCACTGTCCATTTGATCCCCACCATGCTATCTATGGCAATTTGGCTGGGCCCCTAGCTGACTCCCCAAACGCTATCCCTCTCCTCTCAGCTGCCAGTCTCTAAGAGGGAGGGGAGGGAGGTGGCTCCGGCAACGGTCCCACAGCCCTGGGCTTCCTCAGCTGCCCAGCTATCTAATCGGCCTCACCTCTTCACCCCTGCAGAGACAGAGCCTCACAGGAGGCTCTTTTTATCAGGAGAGCAGAGACAGAGGCTCACAGGAGGCTCTTTTTATCAGGGGAGGGGCTTGTGTGTGTGTGTCTGTGTAGGGTGTCGGGGCGCTGTGTGTAGGAGATTAGGAGACTCTTTTAATACCTACACCTCACCGGCCCTCTTTCTCTCCAGGATTCCTGCTGCTGGGTGACTGTTAGTCACGCACTGCCCTTCCAGACCCATTTCCTGATAAACTCCCAGCACCTCCACTTCTCCCCCGCAACCCCCATCTTGGGCCAGGCTTCTGGTTCCCTCCACAACACACACACACACACACACACACACACACACACACACAAGAGGCTGGTCGCTGCCCCCTCCCTGCAATCCGGGCAACATGTGGGGGTTGGCCAGCTCTCCTGCCAAGCAGGGTAAAGGGTGGCACCTCTCCCAGAGCACGGGGACCTCATCTGGGACCTCTCCCCAGGACCTCCCGCTTCAAGCTTCCCAGACTTCCAGACCAAAGAGGATTTGCCCAGGAATCCCCCCTTCCACAGCCCAGGAAAGCGAAAGAAGGAGAGGTGGTTCCCGACTCCACGATGTCAGGGCCAGGAGGCCTGCCCCCATCACTGTCCTGTACAGAGGGGAGGAAGGAGGCCCAGAGAAGGAAAAGTCCTGCCCTAGATCACACAGCCAGAACCCATGACTTTCCCCACTAGAGCACGCAGAAATTACTCCAAGAAGGGAGTCCAGGGGTTATTAACACTGACTCTTTTGAAGGAGGGTCAGCACCTGGAGGGCTCAGAGAGCTGGTCAGGGCGTGAGAGGGGGCCCGGACACTCAGAGCAAGAGGTGCAAGTCTGGAGAGGGGAGTCGGCGGAGCAGCAGGGCAGTTCCTTGGGGAGAATGAAGGGGCCGGGTCCCGGCGCTGGGGAGCTGGGCAAAAAGGTGCAGAGAAGTTCGGCGTGACCTTGGCTGTGTCGCGTCCCTCTCCGGCCCCAGTCTGCCGTCTGCAGGCCTCAGTGCAGCCGGGACCCCAGGGCGCTCAGGCTCGCGGGTGCCCCCAGGGCGAGCGGGGTGCCTCACCTTCTTGAAGTCGGCGGTGAAGGACACGAGGGTGCCGTCGGGCTTGCGCAGCTCGAGGCTGATGCTGTCGGCGTCGCTGTCCGCCTGCAGGCTCTCCTCGGTCACCTGGCCGTCGGGCAGCCGCACGCGGACCCGCAGCTCGGCCGGCGCGCCCGCCCCCAGC